CATGGCTGGCTGGGGAATTCTGGGAGTTGAAGTCCACCCGTCTTAAAGTTGCCGAGGTTGAGGGACCCTGCTCACAAACCCCAAACCTTTTCCTGCAAACCAAACTCTGATTTAACACGTTTGTCCGATATATAGTAAACAGTGTTAAAAGAACATCTGTTAATTGCAGGACTCAAAAAAAAAAAAAGGAATCCTGCTGATGGGGGATTAAAGAAGGCAAAAGGGTGTCGTCTTCCCACGTTTCTTGTGATGTTGGCTATGTATGCATTTATTTATGTTTGTTTATTATTGCATAGCATTTACATACATTGGCTATAGTATTGTAACACTTCGCTGAATCTGAAAGACTTCCATTAGATAGCCTTAAATCTTCACTCCTTCTTGTGGGTCTTTGTGTTTCAGACCAATTCCTCTAAAGTAAAACAGCCTTTGTCGGAAGCAGGAAAGGAGGCAGCTGAGCAAAGGGCTGATCGGCAGATCCACTTGTTCGGTAAGATTTGGCCAGTTTGGATTTTGCAAAATTTCTAACATGACTCCTGCATTGCATTCCTCTCCAGTGGCAGCTGACACAACGGGCATTGTGACATATGCATGACTTTGCATATTTGCATCCAATGTAGGGACGCATGGATGTAAGGGTGAGGTTGTGCTGCGGCATCACAACCCATATTTTTTCGTTGAGGGGGGTCCTCATACCACCTATGTCGCCCTCGGCTTTACTGGGGAGAAGCAGTGAGATGTCGGATGACAGAATCCTCTTCACAGACTCCTTCTCTCCCAAAATGGACATTGGCGCCCTTTTTTGGTCAAGGGGCACATCTGGGATTCTGATAACCTGTTGTGGATACTTTCACAAAATGGATGCCAAAGACATGATATGTAAAAAAAAATCCAGGCAGTCTCATACTGAGATTACTCCCTGCCTCCTGCCCAGCTCCTAAAGATACTTTCTGCAACCCTAGTTTAATTTTGCCTTTATTTTTGCAAGTTAATAAACTTGAAGCAATGTCCTAAGATGCAGCCATCCAGCGTTCCCCCCGTCTCTTTTTGTGTGTGCTGGCTTCATGCGTAAGGCAGGACTAGCACTCACAGTCTCCCGGTTTCTAGCCCAGGGTCTGTCAGTCCTTCAAGGTAGACCAAATTAGAAACCAAGGACACGCAAACTAGTACTACTTTTATTTTAAGGTTATAGTAACAGAATCTTGCAAGTCTGAATGCGTTTCCCACTCCCTCCCTTTATCTTCATGAGAACTAGGGAGGATCTTGCTTGAGACGCCTTCTCAGGTTACAATTCTGGCCTGGACTCAGATTTCTCTTATCTGGCCGTTGTCTTAGTTGCAGCTCTTCCTCCTGTTCCTCAAGGTTATGCCTTTTCCCATCACAGTGCTTTTAACCACTATCCTGAACTGGTTCTCACGATTCCTCCTACCACCCCCACCCCAAAAAGAAAAAAAGAAGAAGTTTCTGGTCCTTGAGAAGCATTCTTGGAAATCAGAACAATGCTGACATTTGGCAGGCCAACCTCTGACTTATTTTTTAAAATTACAATAACCCTTCTTAAAAGTCAGGCAGCTTGGTAGTAGCCAAACAAATTGCTGGCCAGGCATATCTTGTCCTAAACTTTCCTGCTTTCCATAACCAGTTGCAAAAGAAAATCACTGATCGCCACCATCCGATCCTCTGCATAAAATGGGAAGGGGTTGTTGCTGCTACAGGTGCATCAACGCTTAACTGAGGATTTGCAGGACAGATAGCAAAAAACAAGACCACCAAGGGAGACGCCAGGAAGGCAACAAACCTTTTAGAGAAAGTTTATTAAGACCTTGTCCCTGAATACACTCGCAGCGCTGGGGGATCTGTCCCAAATCAGCCGGGTGAGCCCAAAAGGCGCGGACGGTCTCCAGAATTTGACTCACAAAGGAGTTGCTTTTGTTGGGCCGGTTTTACAGCTCTTCAACATCTCTTTCCCCTTCCACCCCCAGAGTTGCTCAGTTTAGGCATCAGCAAAGGAAAGTCAGGCAGGGCATGTTGCAGACCCCATCAGCAAGAGAATGTCGGCTGGCGGGACCCAAGGGGAGAGCCTTCTCTGCTGTTGCCCCCGCCCTTTGGAATATTCTCCCCCCAGAGGTGCAGCAGACCCCTACCCTCCCGGCTCTCCTGAAAGGATTGAAGACCTGGCTCTGCCAGCTTGTGCAACAAGTCTTACCCAATCCTGGGAGTGGCTGGAGCCTTGATGATGCTCCCTGAGTGACTGCCAATTTTATATCTATTCTTGGGTCTATTTATTTACTGTTTATTAAGTGTATCGTATAGTGTAATTTGAACTGTTTTGTAAACCACCCAGAGTCATTTCAACAAGATGGGTGGTGACAAATTTGATAGATAAATAAATAAATAAATAAATAAATAAATAAATAAATGTTAGATATTAATGAGGATTAAGTGTCTAGCAGTGAGTGCCTGCTACGACAAAAGAAAAAAAGAATTATCTGATTGGGTTCAAGCTGGAACTTTGCTGTCTCACAGCTCACAAGAGTAAATAGGAAGAGCTGGCTTATCTAAGCAGCCTCTCTTTCAGGTGTTAATTGAAAAGTACAGGTCAATCATAGGACAGGTGTGTCATACGGTCCTTTGCCTCAAACAGTGAAATGTTGGGGCCTGGCCCTGGAACCACTCCACTTGCAGAGGTACAACACGCATATTGGCCAATCTGTGTAGGCTTCTGTTATTGTATCTTGAGATGGTGATGATGGTGGCTTACACAGAGATGCTGAAGGCTAGGAGATTTAGTTTTTATCTTCTTGCCATATCTGCTTAGTTTTTGTCTGCCCTGCAGGACAGGTCTCATTAATCTGTGTTCTTTCCCTTAGAAATGGCTGAACATGAAAGGAAGCCATTTGCCAAAGGAATTTCTCAGCTGATGGAACTTACTGGAGTTTCGTTTGGTAAAGCCAAGCAAGAAGTTTTCTTCTTTCCCCCAATGGGAAGCGTGCCAAAATGTCAGCAGGAGACAGAGAGGAAGGAAGGAAGGCCCTTAGGCCAAGGAGGAGCAGAAAAACCTCCCTGTGAGAAAGAGGATGACAAAATCTTCAACCAAAACATCTGGAAGAGAAGGCCCAGGGAAAATGCTCATGACCTTCCTAAGTATCAGAAAATGGAAGCTGAAAAAAAGCCTTCCCAACATAATGAAGATGGTGAAGGTTGGGAGTCGAGTTCTGAGCACAACAACCAAATGAGAATAGAATCAACCATGGCTGGTCAGGATGGGTTGAATCAAAAGGTTCATCAAAGTAATCTGCAGAGAATCCCTGTTGGAGAGGAACCATACAAATGTTCTGAATGTGGACACAATTCCAGTCAGACCTTAGCTCTGAGGGGAAGTAGTCTTTGTATATGTTTGAACTGTGGTAAAAGCTTTATTTCCAGTTCAGCTCCACGAAAGGAAGAGAATGCATGCAGTAAAGAGAACCCATCTAAACATTTGGAACATGAGAAAAGGACTCCACAACCTCCTGATCTTCAGACAGGAGAGAAACCATACATGTGCACAGATTGTGGGAAAAACTTCAGCTTTAGGTCAAGTCTTGTCCGCCATCAGAGACTCCATACCGGAGAGAAACCATACAAATGTTTAGACTGTGGGAAGAATTTCAGCCAGAGTTCAAACCTTCTGAACCACCAGAGGATCCACACAGGGGAGAAACCATACAGCTGCCCCGACTGTGGAAAATCTTTCAGCAACAGTTCAAGCCTTACATCCCACGAGAGAACTCACAAAGGAGAGAAACCATATAAATGTGCTAGCTGTGGGAAATTTTTTAGTTGCAACTCAGTCCTCCGAATCCACGAAAGGATTCACACAGGGGAAAAGCCGTACGTATGTTTGGAGTGTGGGAAAAGCTTTAGCCGGCGAGAATTCCTCATTGGCCACCAAAGAACTCACACAGGGGAGAAGCCGTACGAATGCGCAGAATGTGGGAAGAGCTTCAGTCAGCGGTCAAACCTGATTAATCATCAGAGAAGCCACACAGGAGAGAAGCCATTTGAGTGCTTGGACTGCGGGAAAAAGTTCAGTCACAAAGCGTCCCTCTTGAAACACGAGAGAAACCACGCACATGGGCCAACCGTGGAAAAGGTTTCAGCCAGAGTTGACGCCACGGTGCGTGTGGTGGAACACAACTAGGCAGCGTAGCATAAACATGGGGTAGATTTCCTCAAGTGTTGTCAACAAGCAGAAACTCCACATAGGAATGACACCAGAGTTTGTTAGAACCGCCTTCCTTTGAAGCTAGCAATGGTTTCTGCCTAAAATAAGACAGAAGGAGGAGTTCACAGAATTGCAGTGATGAAGACGCAAATGTTGTGGATAGGCCAAACTTCCCCTTACGTTCTCTCTGTTTCCAGTGTCTAATTGTGGCAGGTTTTTTGCATCCAAAATGTCACCTGTCTGGCCCAGAAGAAAGGTATCTGCAAGCTTGAAACGCTGGGGTTTGCAGAGGTGCAAAAAATTGAAATAAATGAAATAAATTCCCCCAAAAAAGAGACCAGTAAAGGCTGAACATGCTCAGTAACCCCTGAGAAGATGGGTGGGACGGATAATGCAATGGTGTACCCTGGAAAAGAGCATGGCTGACTGGATTGTCACTAGTTCTTGGTGTTCCTAATTTTTGCCACATCCTCGAACGGGATTCATGGGACGGGTGTCACAGGAAGCTCCTTTCAAACTTGTTGCTGCCGCCAGAGAGAATGATCTGTCGCTGGTGCCATTCAGTATCTCCATCAGCCTTCCTCAACCTGTGGCCCTCCAGATGGGTTCGAATGCAGCTCTTAGAATTCTGGGAATTACTGTCCAGCAGGGGATTTCTGGGAGCAGCATTCCAGAATGCATTTGGAAGGAGGGCATCAGGTGGGGAAAAGTATGGATGCCATTCTATGACCTTGGCAGGTACAGATGCCTCTTACGTTCCTCAGCTGCCTGCATGTTTATTGCTCCTTTTGTGGAAATGCAACATATTGGACATGTTTAACCAAAGAGTATCTGGTCACTCCCTTTATTTAATACCCAACAATGTGCATTTTTCCAGCTCTCTACTCACAGCCTAGAGAAAAATAGATCTACGTTAGGTGTAAACAGGCCGGCTAAGTCAGCCCATGCTGGTCCAGGTGGCAAAGGGGAAGAAGTTTATACTGGGTTATGTATCCCATTCCACCCGCATCCAGCTCCTTTGGCGTGCAAGGTTGTGGTTGTAGAAACTACTGTATTTTACTGTATTATATTTGGATCCTGTCCTTCCAAATGGAGATACAGAGGAAGGATGGCTTCCGTGCGTCTTCCATTTTATTGTCACCAGATCCCTCTGAGATAGGCTACACTGAGGTAACAACTGGTTTTGGCCGCCTTGGGAGCTTGAGTGAGAAAAATTAGATCAGTGTTTCTCAATCTTGGCAACTTGAAGATGTGTGGACTTCAACTCCCAGAATTCCCCAAGCCAGAAAAGCTGGCTGGGGA